TAAGAAAACCCTCATATATATACCATGTATCTTAAATTGTGGATCGCTAAATATTAACTCCAAAATCCTATGGATAAAATAATTAACAAAGAACAAAATAATTAACAAATAATAATATAATACCAAGCCTCATCCATAACAAATCATATCATAGCAACTCACATTTCCCTGGGGTGGTTGGCGCGGAAACAAAAATAAATATTCAATGAAAGATCTCGTCTAGGATACATAGTGCACAATAAACCATAGCCTTATACTTTAATCTCGAGGCAGGAAACATGGGAGAAAATTTACAATTTTGTTTGATTCCTTACAAAGAAAAATAGTATGGAGTATAGGTGCTCACAATATCCCGTGGCTCAGCATAACATTTTGCAGTTCACTGTAGACGTAAAAAAATACCTATAGCTTCCAGCATGCAGCTCGAGACGAAGAGAAGGTGATGAACGTCATTATCTATGTCAAAGAGGATTATTTGATACTGTAAAGTAGCAAACAAGCACACAAAATGAGTCGGCAAAGCGTACTAGTTAACAAAACACGCAAAACGATGAAACGATGGAGAAATGATACAACCAAGGCTGTGTTTCGCACCCAAAGTGCAAAACACTTAGGAGTGTTTTGTACCTATGTGTGAAACACCTAAAGTGTTTCGCACATGGTGCAAAACAACCAAGGTGTTTCTCACACATGTGTGAAGCACCCAAGGGTGTTTTGCACTAGTCAGGACTCCCGGATGCGTTTTAACGGTTTTCGATATGTTTTAACGGTTTTGGAGCCTCCCTAATTACTTTGAGGATATCCTTAAATGTCAGAGAGCTATTACTAACTGAAGATAAGGCTAAATCACAAATTCTTATCTGAAAATAGGGCATCCAAAGCTTATAAATACACCCCTAGGGCCCTTATACACGAGTAATCTGGAATTTCAGAGCTTGGAGGTAAGTTGCTATCCCTGTGAGAGGAGAGCAATGAATTTCAGATCTAAATGCGAGATCTTGGTAAGTTTTTTAATATAAATAGGAGGAGTTCGATAGATATATAGCCCCTACATCAGTTTCCTTAAGATCATACTGTTGTTGGATATTGAGAAGAGTACTTATCTCACATCGTTGAGAATTTACATCAATTCTTATTTCTTCTACGAAACGAGATCAACCGAATTTGATACTCAACGATCCACGGATCAAAGAGACCCCGACACATGCAAAGATCTCACGTAAGTAGCGAGCAATAAACGATCCTGTGTGTGTTTTTAGAAAGTCTTTATTTATTTTTATTCGTGTAAAAAAGTCTTATAAAAAGGCTCCTTCTTTCGAACCTTGTAATGGATTTTGCAATAAAAATTATTTTCGATGCAAACACGCTGGTGGCTACAGTGGAA